GGTTGGTACTTAGAAGTACAGTTGACAAAAGATCTTAAAAACTGATACCTTGCCATTTTAACAGATGAGTATTAATCTAGATAGCAAGAGACTATGAGTTTTGTGTGTATTTGAAAGGACTGTTCTCAGTTGTGGTTGCCCAAACAGTTTGTTTCACTTGTGTTTATTAGGTAGGAGTTGAGATTACCATGCCAGTTTTGAAATGGATTTAATTTTTCCCAAACTAGCTTTTACTGTTATGGAAGGAAATCCAGGCAGAATGGAGCAGTCTTTAGGGAAGAGTCATCATCTAGGTTTCATTTCCATGGTGCATACTCAAAGTAAAATAGCATTTAGACTCTATGGTAAGATACACAGATAAAGAAGAATGATTTGGGGATTCCCAGTGGAATGATTTGCCAGTCCTCCCACCTCTCCACCCCTAACCCACACATACCTTACATCCTGTGACTTTAGAAAAATTCTGTTTGGTTTGTTTTAGGTTTCAATTTTGTGTTTGTTGAATGGCTTTTATCTTTAGGTGCCTAAGTTTAAATATGTCTTCTCTCTGATAAATATTTGTCAGATTTTTTTCTCATTATTGTTTACCATTAACATCATCTGGATGTGGGTGTTCCCGAGGCTTACTCTGTGATGGATACCCAGAGACTGCAGTCATTGTACTTCAAATGTGTCCTGAGAGCAAACTCAGCATTAGCAGAGTTGCAAGTAATGCTGTGTCCAAGGAAAGATTAATCCTTGCTCTGGATGGATTAGACGTGCAGACAATATTTATCTCAACATATTTCTTCTTTATAAACATCAGTGACATCATCATGCCATGCTTCTACACTGTTTGTGTTGAAGGGCCAGTTGGTTTTTTAAGAAACTTCCAGTCTGTTGTGGACCAATATTTTTATAAGATGCAGTTTAAATGAATTATTAGAAACATGAAAGGGAGAAAAACTAAAGAAGTGCAAAATGAAAGTCCAAGTTTGTCAGAGCAATATTGAATTCTTATAAGGGTTTCTGAATGTGTATTCTGAATTTAGATATTTATTTTGTTAGGGTTTAGTAAGATGAGTTTGTGGACTGGCATCAGTCCAAGGACTCCACTTTGAGAAACTGTGGTCTAAGGTCCTGCTTCTCAACAATTTGAACTTAAATATCTAATCATAGGAAGAGTGACTGCACAAAGCTGAAGGTCAAGGGATGGGGCTAGCCTTTGAAGTCTAATGTTTTTTCTTAGTTTTAGGCATTCTGATCTGCTCTATAGCTGTGTTTGTCTTAATACAGAAATAATCTTTAAAGCTGTCTGTTTCTTTTAGGAAAAGTAATTAAGCTTTTTTCTTCAAATCTCTGTGTTGTTTTTGGCACAGGAAGGTGTCTTCTGTTTATCTGTAGCTTTGCAGTCTCAGTTTGATTGGCAGATATAAAAGAAACTTGCAAAATATTCTGTGCCTTTGATAAGTTTTAAATGGAAGAAGAGCTCTTCATGACATGCCACATGATGTTCATACAGAAGGAGCCAGGATGGAAAGGACTCACAGAGACTGTGAGTTCAAAAACTCTGCCATCTGAGGGCCACTTTTCAGGACTTTTTTTTGAGTGAAGATAAGAAGCTTTCAATCTCTGCTCCAACTGGCAGAGGAATAGCATTTTCAAAAAGTTTTATTGAAAATAATTCATCTATGTAAAGTGTAGAATTCAGTGGCTAGCAGTATATTCCCACAGTTGTGCAGCTGTTACCACAATCAATTTTATAATATTTTCATCACCCAAGAAGAAACTCTCTATGCCATTTTCCTCCCACCCATCTCCATCCCCCAGCACTAGGCAACCAAATAACTTTCTGTCTCTATGGATTTTCCTATTCTGGATATTCTATATAATAGAAGTGGTGTTTTTGAAGTCATTTTGTTGATCAAGAGCACCAGCTCCAAAGTCAGAATTCTTGGGTTTTCTTGGCCTGCCATTTAGCAATTTTGTCTCTTTGGGTGATTCTGTGCCTTGGTTTCCTCCTCATAAACATGAGTAGTAGTGGGACCTACCTGAGAAGCATGAAGACGTGTTAGTTAATGCATCTAAAGCATTTAGGATAGTGCCTGGCACAGAGTGTGCACTCAATAAATATTAGTGCTCAACTCATGTATTGGAAGAGAAAAAAAATTGCTTCTGAAATAGTGACAAAGTAATGAAATGTGACTTTGACATGGGATTCTACTTGATTTCTGTTGTAAGGACTTAGTTATTTGGACAAGGATGGTGGGGGAAAGTTGCAGGAATTTTCTTGGTTTAAAGAGTGTCAGATTACAGTTCTGTTTTCTAGACTAGTAATGATTATGTTAGATTAATTAAAACAGAACTTTTCCTAAAGCTGTGGGGTCTTGATGAGCAGATTTGCTTATAATTGTTTCCTTAATATCCACTACTTTATGAAGGGAAAAGGTTTATGTTGCTTTTGAACAAGAACCCTTGTTAAGATATATTTTCCTTAGGGAGCTGTCATTTAATCTCAAAATTTATATGAATTAATCCTTATCCATTGGTTTATATAAAGTAAAAATCATTTCCATTAAAATGATTTCCCATTTTTATGTTAATAATCAGAAAGCCATCACACAAATAGCATAGCTTTTAGGTCTTTTTGGAGATTTGTAGATCTTAGTAAATACACTGGGCAAGAGACTTGGAATTCAGTACAATCTTAGGCCAGTTGTGGAATTTTATTTTAAAATCATTGAATATAACCATTGGAAGTGACTTTAGAGATTATTTTAAGATACCCCTTATTTTTGTTGACAAGGAAATTGATACTTTTAGGTTAAAGGATTTCAGAAGGCTAATTACTGACAGCCCTGAGGCTCAGTCCCATTGACTGGGGCTCTTTTTTGCCCAGATCATACCTTTTTTTTCATGACCACACTCATTGAACCATCTTTCACATTGAATCAGTATGTTGCTTTTGTGGAGCTACAGATTCTTGTATAGACAAGCAGAATGGGTCATACTAACAATATCGATTATTTCTGATGCGGTTGTAAGGCATCAGGATTGCCCTGCTCTTCCTAGGTATCATTTCTGCAAGGCAAATGTAAAAAATCTGGTAGTGCCTCCTTTGCCATCACAATAGGGAGGTCTGTCTGGATAACAAAGGTCTGCTCAAATAAGGAGATGATTTTTCTTTAGTTAACCTTTAGTGTGTGAAGGGACAGAACTCTGAAACATAAAATGGGAACCATTTACCTCAATTCACAAGGACACTATGGCTAAAGCCTTTTTGACTTGGTGAACTAGCTTGCTGACCAATTCTGTACAGCTTGTGGGTCCGGCTGGTCATTGGAAAGTTCTCACAGCATGTCCATGATCTGGAAGAGGGCCCGGTGGGTAGGGATTTAAGCCTGTGGGAGCTTCATTACTTCCCTTTCACAAAGCCCAGCATTCCTTACGTTTCTGGATGCCATCCATGTATCTTTCTTAAAATCCATTGCTTTTTCCTGCCCTATCTTACTAAGTGTCTCAGAGAAATTAATGAGTTTTTCTCAGTGGGCCTTTCTTTCTCCCCTTCCTTTCCCTTCCCTCCCCTCCTCTTCTCTCCTCTCCTTTTCCTTCCTTCCTTTTCTCTTCCTTTCTCATCCTTTCTAGATATAAATGTCTTCTAAAGAGAAACATTGAACCATCAGTATATAAATCTATTGAAGTAAAACAATGCTCGGAGTATTTTCTTTTAACTCAGATTCCATGTGTTTTCCTTATTTTAAACTATTTGTTAACAGATAAAAAAACTGAATTGACCCACCCTCCAGTCCCCTTTGTTTCTTTCTTCCACCACCAAAGAAGTATTTGTTTCTATAATTGCCTTTAGGAGTACATACTGAGTTGCTTTTTAAAAAGTTAAGCATATTGTCAAGTTTCTACTTCTTTTGTTGAGAATCTCATGTGCTAAAGAAATATAAGTACTTCTGTATGTAATAATAAAATATTGAGCACATTTCATATTTAATATAATCCTCTAAATATATTAACTGGGAAGACTTTGAGTGACATGCTAACTCGTGTGTCTTCTACTTTTAAGAGTACTTATGTGTTTTGTAATTATTGCTTGACAGTTTAGGTGAAATTTGCATGTTTTAAGAGGTTTTCTAAAATGATTAAAGTTTAAAGACTTTGTTTTTAATTAAAATGATTAAGTCTTACTTGGGCTCTTCCTGAGCCTGCTGTATCATGTTTTTAAAAAAACTTCTCATTGTGAAATATAAAACACATACAAGTCAATAAACAGAAATTTGCCAGCACCTCCAAAGTCCCACTGTGTCTCCTCCCAAACAGTATTTCACTCCCCCATCCAAATATAACCACTATTCTGATTCTTATATCAAGTCTTGCTTTTCTTTAGTCTTATAACCCAAGCATGCATCATAAACACTGTAATTTAGTTTTGCCTGCTTTAAAAAAAAACAAACCTCATATAAGTGGATTCAAACAATGTATTCATTTGTATTTGACTTAATTTTGCTCATTATTATGTTTGAGTCAACATTATATGCAAACAGTTTTCAAAAAATTTAATTACATGGGAATAATTTAATAGGAAAAATAGTAAAAGGATTTAGTACTTAAGATGCCTGTTTTATTACTGCCTCTAATGTTTGTCTCTAAGCAGCAAAGACAGCTTTGACAAGCTTCTTGAACTCTCAGTATCTCCTTTTTCTTCTCTAAAGCATGATAAAATGGGTTTAAATGATTGATGGGACCCCTTTAGCTCTAACATTTGATGAAACTGGATAAATAAATGTTACTCTATCTTTAATTTCTTTCATTTTTGTTTTCATTAGGTTGTCTTGGAGATACGCAGTTTTGTTTTAGATTTCGACAGTCTTCTAGGAGGAGGGTGTCACTTCACTGTCTCCTGGATCAGTTTGACAAAGATTTACCAGTTTACTTAAAGGTTGGAAAAGTAGTAGTAGAAGAATATCTATGTGAGAGGAAACAGTTACTGTTAACACTTAGAGCTTTCTGAACTATTTCGCTTTTGTTTTCTTATGATGTCATACTGCTGAGTTTCCTAAGTGAGTCTAATTCATAAGGACTCAGCATGTGAATGAAAGAGACTTTGTAAAGTTACTGTTCTTGAAATATTATAATACCATTGTGAACTGTAGTAATTGATTAGAATGTTGAGGCAGTTTTTTCTGGTATGGACGTGGGGTGGTACTATACCAGTAAATATTATCCAGAATTGAAGATTCCATGTGTAATCCCTACCTGCTTTATGATAGAATTATGGTTGTCTCTGTGATTTTTTAATGAGGTTCATTTTATAGTTATTGCTTATTAAAAACAATTTTAATAATTCATGATTCCAGACTATAGCTTTCTGTTTGGTATTCCACACTTAAATCTCTAACTGCTAGAGGAATGTTTCTATGTGGATGTCACATCAGAACACCCAGTATGAACTTGACATCATTTGCCTAAAATCAGCATTTACAGTTTACCTGCCTGGCTCCACTCATGACTCCCAGTTAACAAAGATACTACCTTTGAAGTGTCTCTTATAGCCATCTACTCCTTTCCATGACCTCTGCTAATATTATTAACATATTCTTTCAATTGATGATAATAATAGCTACTGTTTATTAAGAGCTTTTTAAGTTCTAGGCACTGTATTAATAAGCAGATGTTATCTCATTAATCCTCTTTACAGTGTTCTGAGAGAGTTCCTTTTGCAGATGAGGGATATTGAGGATAAGAAATTTGCCCAAAGGCATCCCACCTCTTGTTTTTACCAATGCAGTATATTATACACAGTGTTGCCAGTTCAAGTGTGTATATGTATTATATAAAGATAAATTGAATCTGAAATGACTACCTATTGCTTAATGAATGAAGAGTTAAGGATAGTACTGTTTCCTTGTACTCACTTTTTGGGCCTTCCAAAATAAGACCATTACTTTTCCAATTACCAATTTCATCTTTTTCTATACATGTGCCATATTTCAGTCAAACTGAACTATGTGCTTTTCCCTGACTTAGCTTGTATGTTCTTGTCTCTGCATGTTTTTGTTCAGACTCCTGGCCCTCTAAACCTGTAATGTCTTTGTCTTTGTTTAAATCATATCCATCCTTCAATGTTCAATTCCAGAACACCTGCCTCCCTGAAACCTTTACTGAATCCCCACAGACAGAGGTAATCTCTTCCCCTTGGCCTCCTTGGAACACTCTGCTGTTTATGGCACTCGCCCTCCTAGTACATAAGTCATTTCTGTGCTTTTCTCACTCATCTTAGATTGTGAACTCCTTAGGGAGCTTTGTCTTAACACATCTTTTTATCGTCTTTAACACAATGTCTTATTCAAAGTAGGTGGTCCATAAATATTTTGTTTAAAGAATAATAATCAAATAAGGACCTGGCCAACATTTATTCCATTAGCATGTAAACTCTTCTTAAGTGTTTTGGAATGTAATTACCTTTCAAATTTCCAATGTCTTATTATTATTTGGTAAAATTATAACTAGCTATGTAAGATTCAAAGAGGCATTGAACTCCTTTTATTTTCTCTCTTGAAATTTTACATCAGGATACTTCATTTCATTAAGACTGTCCCTAAGTCAAATATTAGGCAGAAGTATAAAAAAGACCCCATTAAATAGAGTTCTGGGGAAGCAGAATTTGATTGTTTCCTAACATTCATTAGCTAGTAAAGATATGAATAAAAATATAAGCTGAGTAGGATATAGGGGGGGAAATCTGACTTTAGTACTTCAGTTATAATTATTTCATCTTTGGGCAAGTTAGCTGGTTTTTATCTGGAATTACTGTTATGATTCTTGTTTGTTTTGGTGGACAGAAGCGTAGCTAGCTCTTTGTGTATACCTTGTATCACAGTTTGGGTTTATAAAGAACCTCATGTTAATATTAAAGGATGGAAATACATATATGTTTTATTTGTTGCTTCTTTCATAGAAGGATCCTGCTTATTTTTATGGATATGTGTATTTCCGGCAAGTTCGAGATAAAACTCTAAAAAGAGGCTACTTTCAGAAGGTAATTTTCATATGCACTAGTAGAATATTTTTATACTGTGGTTAGAAAAATACAAACTGTTAGGATGAACAGTCTTTAAAGTTTTTGATATTTTTATCTTAAAACATACTGGAGTTTATATTTATCTTTTTTTTTTTTTTAGATCATAGACACTTGTCCCTAGATTTTTAACTGCTATTGAATTTTGCCTTCCTGCCATCTCTGTGCTAGATTCCTGACAATAAGCTACAGTTATTGTGTGAAACTATCAAAATCCGGAAAAATCTGCTTAATATTCACATTTTATAATAAGGGAAAGAGTAAACATATTGTAAAATTGTTACAACTAATAGAAGCCTGCTCCATCTTTTTGAAGAGCCATTAAATATATTTCAGCAACATCTTAGACATTACTGTTTCCACTTAAATATACAATCATTTTCTTTCTTAACAAAAAAAAATCATTTGGTTCTGATTTAGACCCAGGTAACAGGGACATAACTTCTTTTGCAACTAAATTGGCACCTTGACCACTAATTGATACTGGATGGAAAGGTAAAAAGTAGTTTTCAAGAAAAGTAGATTGTTCTTAAAAAGATGAGTATAATCTATATCTGAAGTGATCAAAGTATAAAGTCAGAATTTCTAAGTATGTGTCTAGTACCATTAAACTCTAAAATAAAATAGTCATAGGCCTTAATTTGAAAAAACATCACAATCTGCTTTTTTCTTATTAGGAAGAATTCATCTGGCTAATTCCTGATACTGCCTGGCTAATGACAACAATAGCTAGGCTTTGGATATTACCCCTGACATTAGTCTGTTTATAGGAAATTCTTTTTCCTGGAAAGTATGAGAATCTGTGAATATGCCTTTATGCTCTTAAAGTATAGTAATAAGGTTATACCTTTTACATTCTGCAATTGTAGTTTTATGTTCTAACCATCTTATTGTAAAAGGCTGTACTTAAAAATCTACTTTTTGCTGAATTTAGTTTGCTGATAATTGATTCTGTAAAAGATGACAAACTTAAATGATAATCATTAGTAAATTTTAAAACACATTGTTTCTTTTTTCTCTCCAGTCCTTGGTTTTGATCAGCAAACTACCTTATATTCATTTTTTTCACACTGTGCTCAAACAGATAGCACCAGAGTATTTTGAAAAGAGTGAACCTTATTTGGAAGCAGGTAAGTTAAATACTGTGTGAATTAGGTACCTTTATGAAGGAGTTTTAAAAATTTTATGGGAAATGGGTGATAAAAATGAAGTTGACTTCCTAAAAAAAATTAGTTAAGAATTTTAAGAGCTATATAGTGGGAGAGAGATGTAAAATTATTCTTCTGGTATCTTGACCTATAAATGCCAAAGACCATATCTTTTATTATCTACTTTACAACATATATGATGCCTATTTACTAGGATAAAAATAAACAAATATTGAGCTGCCAGTTCTAATACTCAGAGTACTGTTGAACAGAAATCCTTATGTCACTTGTTGCAGAGAGAAGGCCTCTGCCAGGTGGTATGCTTTTTGTAGCTAATTTTAGTAGTAATAAATGAACAGGAAAACTCCTTTTAAACTTACATTGTTTAAAAAAAAGTTAGTAGGCAGTTTACNTGGGAATTTATAGTAAGTAGTTTACTTTCAGTTCAGGATTTGGGAACTTGCCAAGAACTCTCTAAAAGCAGTGAGTTTTCAAGAAAATGACAGGGTAAATCTGGTTATGAAGCATGGCCATTAATTATTTGCAATAGTTTGTGTAAGTTAATATATGTAAAGTGCTTGGAATGGTGCTTGGCATCTAGAAAACACCGTGTAAGTGTTTGCTGTTATTGTTAAGCTTGGTTTTCCTCCTCTCTTTCAGACTCTCCCTTTGTGTGGTCCTAATTGTTGAAATCTTTCAGGATACCTCTTGTGCTCATGTGTTTCACTTTCAAAACAGCTTTTCAGGCTTAGAGTGACCAGAACATTCAATGTCTTAGACCACACACAGAACCCCGTGAAGCAAAGCCACTCTGGTTCCCTTTCCTTTTGTGGTTACTTGTAATAATATCTTGTTAATTTTGTTCATCTGATTTGGGAGATGTGACATTTTAATTTTTTAAAGCATTTTCTCCTTTCCTTATAAATGCTTCCACAGTGTGTTCCTATATATTTGGGACTCAGCTTTCACGAAGTATGTAAAAAAGAAGTGATAGCCTGGTAGAGATCCTACTAGGGCAAAATGTTGTTCTGACCTGGAATTATTGGAATCTTTTAATATGTTTTGCCTATTAATGAAATAAAGCTGAAGAGGTCTTACAGGATCTCCTCATTTCAGTTAGCGTTTTTTCTGACAAAGTCCACACATGCAGTTTTGAAAGTAGTGAGTGTTGGATTTTGACTTCAGGACTCAGGGTAAGCCGAGCTGTGTGGATTGCAGGATGAACTGACTATGTGATTGAAGTCCCCATATTATACTGCAGACTTTTCTCTTTCCCATCACTGCCAGTTTTTATGGCTCTCTTTCACCCCTCTACATAAGCATCAAGGCTAGGAGGCTAAATGTATGGTGTTTGGATGAACTTTGTTATTTCTAATTTTGTAGTTAGTCTCTCCATATGTCATTTCTTGTTAGAAGTTAAATGTAAATCTGCATATTTCAGAATTTGTTTAGTGTTTTAAGCACTTGAGTGACCTACAGATGTTTTAAAATGCCTTTTTTTTTTTTAGCTGCACATTAAATGAAATGTGGCTCATTGTGTTCAAAGTACGGTTGGTACTTAGAAGTACAGTTGACAAAAGATCTTAAAAACTGATACCTTGCCATTTTAACAGATGAGTATTAATCTAGATAGCAAGAGACTATGAGTTTTGTGTGTATTTGAAAGGACTGTTCTCAGTTGTGGTTGCCCAAACAGTTTGTTTCACTTGTGTTTATTAGGTAGGAGTTGAGATTACCATGCCAGTTTTGAAATGGATTTAATTTTTCCCAAACTAGCTTTTACTGTTATGGAAGGAAATCCAGGCAGAATGGAGCAGTCTTTAGGGAAGAGTCATCATCTAGGTTTCATTTCCATGGTGCATACTCAAAGTAAAATAGCATTTAGACTCTATGGTAAGATACACAGATAAAGAAGAATGATTTGGGGATTCCCAGTGGAATGATTTGCCAGTCCTCCCACCTCTCCACCCCTAACCCACACATACCTTACATCCTGTGACTTTAGAAAAATTCTGTTTGGTTTGTTTTAGGTTTCAATTTTGTGTTTGTTGAATGGCTTTTATCTTTAGGTGCCTAAGTTTAAATATGTCTTCTCTCTGATAAATATTTGTCAGATTTTTTTCTCATTATTGTTTACCATTAACATCATCTGGATGTGGGTGTTCCCGAGGCTTACTCTGTGATGGATACCCAGAGACTGCAGTCATTGTACTTCAAATGTGTCCTGAGAGCAAACTCAGCATTAGCAGAGTTGCAAGTAATG